GCCAGCTCTGATTTGCATATTAGGCACTTAGAGCTCCAGAGCATCACAAGGATTCATACAGGTGCCCTGCAGAGAGCTGCTGCTGGAAAAGTAACTTCCCAATGGCTTTAGCTGTGCGTCATGACTCTCCCTTCAACCCAGTAGGCTCAGATGAGACAAGCATGCAGAGTCCCTGCAGAGGGGACCAGAACTGCCACCCTTAGTTTCCTTAGACACAGTCACAGGAGGGAAACTGTGCACTTTCTGCAGAGAATACAGGAAATAATGTTTTTCCTTCCTTTCAGTCACACTGACAGCGACTGTTAGAGCCTCTTGTGAGCTGAATACAACACTGAGCTGGCAGCTGAACAGCATTGGGGCAGTTGCTATGCTTCATCTCCACTGTGCAAGTGAGCAGGGTTTTCCCGTGGGTCAAGCTTGTGTGCATGCTCTGCACCAAGTATCTGTTCCTGGCTAGTGTCATGGCCAGGCTACCTGCCCAGACACACCGTCCATTTGCTTATTCTTTCCTTAGGCTCTTACTGAAAGAAGCTACTTGTGTCCCAGTCCTAAAACCAAACTGGGATGGATACCTGCCTGACATATCCCTCAAGCCTTCTGAATACAATTCTCACTCACAACCTCTCCTGTGGCTCCCACATACATCTGCCACTGGAGAAGAGTTTAAAGTATCTGCTCCTTGTGTTGAACCAAACATTTGCTCCCAACAAGAAAACGTTTCTGTCCAGCAGACAGCAGCCTGACACTGGAAGAAAACCCTCCCATTACATGCTTCACCTGGTACTGGTTTCCACTGTTCATCTGCCAAAGCAAACTGGCATGACACCAAGTTCTCCTTCAGTGAAACCCATTTACTGTCCAGTTATTAAATATAAGTCACTATGAGTTAGTCCAGGATATCTGAAGTAAACCAGCAGAATATCTTTGTCCAGCAACCCTTTAGGCTTTGTTGTGGGGTGGATATGTCAGCTCCTGCAAGCTTTCCCTAACAGATGGTCAAAGGGGTGGAAGGCCACTTGGCACAGACTAGAACAGCCTTGAAAAGCCACCCATGAAGATGTGACAGAGGTCTATAACCCAGGGGTGGCACAGAGATGGCATGATTGTTCCCAAGACACTGAAACCTGCAGGATCAGGCTCAGCCCTGAATTAACCTTCCAGCTTTCAGGGTTGACTCTTGCCACAGCTGCTAACTCCCTCAGTGACTATTCACTACCCAGCACACCTATTTCTGCTGAGTATCATTGGGAAAGCAATGTTTGCCTTACTACAAGGGAGGCTGAAGCTTAAATAACCCCAGATAAGCACTACTAGAGGGAAGTTACAAGTGGAAAGGGAGGTAATTGCACATATCCCCAATTCACAGAGATGCTTAAGCACATGCTTTAGTTAATGATACAAATAATCCAGCAAGACTTTGCCATCCAAAGAACTGAAGTACATTCTGCAATTACCACTGCAGGAGCACTTACAACACCCAAACAACAGCCTGTCTCCCCAGCACACGAGGGGGTGTGTGCAATGCTGTCAGTAAGGGCGGGTGGGAGGTGTGTGTGCTTACAAGCGGGAGCAAAAGCACTTTGTTTTGTAGGGCCCATTTCACCAGGATAGGAGTTAAAGTTTGCATGTGCTTAAGTAACTCCTGACATAGTCCACACAACAGAGCCCAGGTCTAAGACAGGAGTACAAGAAACAGAACGTGAACCAGTTAAATTATGGCCCTTCAGCTCAAAGTGTTTCTCAGCAGTCTGGGGACCAGAGGAGGGGATTCTCTACCATGGGTGGATCTCCCTGGCTCTCACACTGAACCTGCCTGTTTCTTCGTTGCTTAATGAATGAGGCTGGGACCGTGCCACTGCCTGGATGGGGGAGCTCTGTCCCTGCCTCCCACCATGCCCAAGCCACTCTTCCCAACCACCATGGGATATTTCTGCTCTCATGTCCACTGCCTCCCTCCAAGCACTTCTGCCCAGAGCCAGCCCTCTCACAGGCCTCTACCCCAGGCAAGCATCACCAATAACCAGTGGAGTCTAATCCCCATGGACACATGGTGGCCAGGGACCATGTGCCACCACTGGTAATTTAAAAGGTGAGCCCATGTCTCCCACCATGCAGCCCCTTCCCACTCATCCCAGCCCATGTGCACTCAGGGCAATGCACAGCCCTGGATTAATACTTTGCAGGCTCCAACAGGAGTTTGCAACTTGTAATTCAATAAAGGCCAAGCAGCAATGATGCATTTGCTGCTGTGATGACTGCAGGCTTCAAGCAGCTGCATGGTTATTGAGCCTCCCAAATTACATAACAATTATGTATGCTTACACCAAAATTACCTTGCAATCTTTGCATTGCCTGGCAACACTTCTCCTTCAGTGTGCACAAACTGGTGTGCTTTTCCTCTTAATCACACAGTAATTGCCATGCATTTAGCCAGAACACCATTTTTAACTTCCATTTGCTAATAAAATAAATGGTTACTCAATAGCCCAAAATAAAGCATCCTATTGTTCCTGTTGCTGGGAATGCTTGGGCATCCTATAATTTATTACCCACTTTCACTCTGTCTGCCTAGGACTACCCACACTTTACTTTTATTTAATGCTATCTTCAAAACTCCAGGTCTCCTCCAAGCAGGAGCTGTAATGCCAGCAGCACCCAGCACAGCAGAGCTGGGCTCTCCCAGCTGAGGCAAGCAGGTTCTGCTGTAATCTGAATGCTAATGAGAATACAAAAAGCTGCAGTCTTCACCCTTCCAACTCTACTGGAAAGCAGTCTTGAGCTTCCCATTCATATACACATTCTCACCAACTTCCTGACTGATTCTGGCAGCACCTGGAAGCTTCTGGACTGTCCCAGGCTTGCAAACATTGATTTTATTTCCACCCACTTGTTCAAGACAAAACCAGAGGTGGTGTTTGTGTTGCAGTGTGGCGATGGAGCCGGGCACTGCAAACCACCTTCCTCTGCCTCAGCAAGGTCTATAATGCTCGGAGAGTTTTCTTTGCAGGTGTCTGAAACCAGGTGAGGCTTCAAAAGCCTTAAAGAAGCAAGGGGCTTGCTCTGGCTCGGAGGAGCAAAAGCTTGCAGGGGCCACTGGAAACTGATGAAATGAGGCAGAAGCAGCCCAAAGCTCTGCAGCGGTATGAAATGTTACTTTGGAGTTTGATGCTGCTACACACCGACTTTTTGAAAGCACAGTCAAAACAATTCCCTCTGGTTTATTAAAGGAGCAGGTTCTTATTTCCTAAGGTTGAAACAGCTGGAAAGGGTAATTCCTTCTGGTTTAAACTGGCTACCTCATTATTTTGTTTGCTGCCCCTTAGTTCTTGTGGTTTTAGATACAGAGAAAGATCCAAAGAAGATTCATCCCCTGTTCATCACCTCCCTGACAGTTAGGATTTTATCAGCCTTTGTCATATTACACTTTCCCATAGTAATTTTAACAGCTTTAGTCTTTGTACATGAGATGTTCCAGCACCATCCTGATCACCCTTCTCAGCCCTTTTTCAGTTCTAGAGAGCTGTTTCTACGACAGGCTGAGCTGACTTGCACAGTACATTCAAAGTACTCCTTGCCTGTACCTAAAAGTCTTACAGATCCAAATCACTGTCTAATGACATTTTTTGCTTTCTTCTCTATTTCATACCCAATAATTTCCCAAACCTTGTTAGCTTTGCTGAATGGCACTAAGTAATGAGCTGGCATTCTCAAGAGAACCCTCCAGAATGAAGCCTGAGTGAGAATACCTAATTTAGAGCCCATCATGATGCACGTATCTTTAGTGGTGTTTCTCCCCCTCATGCATTACCCTGCAGTCAGCAACTGATAAAAATGAATTTTTATCATTCCATCACTTGCTATCGTGGCATCTTCCTGCCAGACTTCACAGTCAGCTCTAACAATGCGCATTCTGAATAATTAGATGTCATCACCAACCTCTCTTACTGTACTCTACCCTTTTGCTGGTCAGTCAGGAATATATTGAACAACCCAGGCCACAATATGCATTCCTGTTTAACTGCACTAGTGACTTTTCTTCATTGTGAAAGCTGTATTCCTACTTTCCTGACTGTTTAGTCATTAATCCACAAAAGGCCATTCATCCAAAGAGACTTAAGAGCGTCTTTATGAGTTACTGACTTATGAGCTTCTTTATGAGTTACTGTTAATGGATCTAATCAAAAGCTATTTGGCAGTCAAAACACAATTAAGTAACAGGATCATCTTATCTACATGTTTGTTTTCTCCTCTGGAAAACTAATAGATCTGTAAGGCATGAATTGCTTCTGCAAAATCTGTATTGTCTCTTCCTCCTCATATTCAGCCGTCTAACCATGGTCAGTTCTTTAGTGCATCAGTGTGCAAAAGAAGCAGTCAACGACGAGATCACAAACTCTACAGAAGGGCTGTCTACAAGGAGGACAGCAGAATCAAACAGGCACAGAGACAAATGCAGCTCACCAGCAGTCTCACAATGCTCCCAGGTGGTACAGAAGCAGTAACTGCAGACCAGCCAGCTTATGGGTATCTCTTGCACATGAGACCATGCTCCATGGGTCCTGGCAGCACCCTGTGCATGAACTGCTCCAGTGCAAGTAGCTCAGGTGAGGATATAGGCAGGGCCCTAAGATGAGTGAGCAGCAGGGGATCCACGTTGGGCCTTATTTACTTTGTTCCAGCTGTATCTAACTGGCTCAGTCCATGTCACTGCAAACACCCATTTTGTGGCTCTGCTATTACCTTCAAAGACACTCTCTGGAAGGAGATAAACAGAAGAAAAAAAGGAAGCAACTATTTTCCTAATGTCCTTTCCAAGGAAAGCCAGCTCCCCACATCTGTGATACTGCTTGGGTGAACCTGAGCTCAGGAGGGCCACCACCAACTGCAAACCCCATCACATGCAATTAGAGGAGACCTCTCTTGCTCAACTGAGTCAAAAGGCTTCCCCCCAGCTGAGCAGGAGGCTCTGCAAAGCTGCTGTCAGTGCTGGTGGTACTCACAGTACTCAATGCCCAGGACGATATCTCGGAAGTAGAGCCGAGCCTGCTCCTCACTGAAGGGGTTGTCACTTGGTACCTCCATGACAGGCCTGTTAGGAAGAGGGAAAACAACTAAGTACTTTGCAGAATGGCAGTAGCACTCCTTACTGGAGGAGTTTCACATTCTCCATCACCACATCCCCACCACTGAGGGCCACAGTCCCACAGATTCTGGGTGCTGTGACATGGGATGGAGGCACAACCATCCCTTCTGGACATGGTGACACCAAGGTTAGTGAGCTCAGCTAGAGGTGGCGGGTGGCTTTTCACAATCCCTGAAGCCAGTATGAGCCACAGAGCCCTTGCCAACATCAGGATTAACTGCTGCTGGCTGCACAAAACAATGCAAGTACTATTCACTCAGGGTGCTAGTGGGAAGAGCAGAGTGAAAGAACAAAACTGGATCTGGCCTTAGGTTTCTTGCCGAAGCTACTCATGGCTGTGAGCACCGGCACCACCAGGAGGTACCAGGCAGCAGTGGAGAAGAGCCCGTTGCTGTGTACTGGATGTCATGTCTGCTGGGGCTCAGTCCTGAAGCAACACCAGCATGCAGCTAGCCTAAACCAAGGCAGAATCTAGACACAGACTCCTGGCTCAAAGGTTAACTGGGAATGTTTCTAGTGCATTGTGCTAAACTGCTTTGAAAACCTATTTAGCTGTTCCGGGATCAGCCATTCAGCCCTGAACAGCCAAGGTTACCTGCTCATCTTCTCCTCTCCCTTCCTCTGTATGCTTCCTTTGTATGCTTTCCACTGCTGAGAGATGCACAGTATCCTCTAAAAGCCCCTCCTCTGCCTGTGCCTGAGGGCAAAGAGGCTGTAAGAGCTAGTCAGCATCTCTGTTCCCCAGAGGAAGAATGGCAGGAGCTAAGGATTTAACTGCAATGGGGGTTAATCCTACTTGTGCTCAGCAGCTTGACCTTGCATTTGGACATATGCCCACTGACTAGAGCTGGATTTAAGTGAGTGCGCTTCTGAAACACTGTCCTTGCAACCAAACCCTGCTGAAGAGCCCATCTCTGATCCAGGGAGAGAACCAGGCTCTGTGGCTCTTCCCCTTAGCACCCAGCAGCGAATCCTCCCTGCAGCATTGCTGCCCTCTCCCCTGCTGCCCATTTGATTGATGACCATCTCCCATTTGCATTTTCCTGCCACTGCCTTCCCTCCCTCTTTCCACACATTTTCCTGCTGCTGAAAGCAGGGAGAAATAATGTGAGTGGCAGGACTGGCAGAGCCACTAATGGAGTCTAATTGCCTTCTGCTAGAGGCAGACAGGCCACACTGCACGTTCCTTGGCCACAGCTGATTACAGGAGCTCCCCCTTGGCCCCCTCTCCTACAGGATAGATATCAGCCTTGTCACCAGGGAGACTGGGGAGCCTCTCACCAGCAACCCACTAGAGCTGGCAGCCTGCAAGAGGCTTGCTTATGGGAGCAGAGGGAAAATCAAGCCTTTTGGGAATCTCCCCCATCCTGGCAGAGCTCCCCTGAGCTCTGTGTGACTGTGCAGAGCTGCAGAATCAGTGCAGCAGTAGCAAAAAGCAGTGAGGAGACTCCCACCACCTTATCACTTCTTCTGCAATGGGAAAACAAACAGCCTCCCACACCACCTTAGTGGTAGGGGCAAAGTAAGGCAATGGGTGGCAAGTAAGTGTTGATGCAACCTTAGACCCCTTGTGCCAGAGGAAGCCACGATGTGGCTGTTACCCAGCAGAGTATTGCTATTAAAACCTTTTCTTCCAGGCATCTGATGGGGAATTGGCTTCCAATTTGTTTTCCAGATCAAAGCCTGACACGAGGAGATGCCCTCCTGCCCATCGTTATTCACCACATCATTCCATGCTGTAACAGAGCAAAACAGCTGGATTTTGCCTCCTTTGTGCTGGCCTGCAGAGAGCAGTTTGCCACTGCACATATTAAACCTCCATTTCACCTAGGAAGCTAATGATGACCACCAAAACTCTCGACAGAGGGAATCCCAGGAGGGTTACTTACCCTTTCCTCAGGAGATCAAACACTGCAAGAAAAGGAAATCAAACCATGAATGAATCAGAAGGGCTTATTTGTTTTTTCAGCATCTACAAAACCACATTCATTCCCATACCTGCAAAATCAATTTCCCTCCAATTCACATCTCTTCCCTCACCCATGTCAGTGAAAATATTCATCTCTTCAGCAAAGACAAGTATCTCCCGCCCCTGCCGGCTCCACGCAGGGAGGCAGTGGGTGCTAATTTATCAGCCACATCTCTGCTGCTCCCAGTGCTTCTGTGAGTCCTGGCTCCTTCAGCACCTCCAGGGAGGCTGGTTGGTGTGGTATTTCTGCTAAATTGCTGATGCTGAAGGAGCTGCTGTAAGAACATGTTGCTCTGTTTCTGCTGTGTCAGTCAGCAGCACAGCTACATGGTTGTCAGAAGCAAACGCGCCCTGGCAGGAGCAACTGGAGAGGATTTGTTGGTGTGAGCTGAGGTTTGTAGAGCACATCAGTTTTTTGTGTGTGATGAGGGGGCCAGTGGCAATGTGGTTTTCTGATCCCCTCTCCTGCAAACCGGAGAAGGATCTGGTTTATCTAGTAGGAGAGCTCTTTCCTCAGGAATTACTAAGGAGTTTCTTTGCATCTCCCAAGCAATCCAGTCAGATTGCCTTCCCCAGAGCACCAGGCAGCCCTGCTTACACCTGCAGTGCTGGACCACTGAAGGTCCAAATACAACAAGGCAGCCTGCATTGGCTCATCTTGCCCTCCAGGCTGAAGAAGCTACAGCTTGTGGCAGCGTTTCAATATTCAACCATCCTCTGGCATTGCAGGTTACCCAGTTCCTGTTGGCACCCTCCATCCCCTGCTTTTCTCCCAAAGAGCATGCAGCAGAGTGCTCACAGCAGTACTTCATGCCAGCAGTAACTAGCAAAGAGCAAACTCCACGTTCTCTAGCTTAGCTCGGTAGTGGGAGGCATTTTTGGAAGGAGGAAGGTGCAGTTCTCACTGGCTGGGTCAGCAGGAGGATGGAGGAAGCCCACTTGCAGAAGGCTCAGTCCTGAGCAGTGCTGAGCACCCGCAACTTCTCCTTGCTGCTGACAGAGCTGCAGAGGCATTGACTTTGCATTGCTTTGACTGAACCACTCATGGGATCCCAGGCAGAGCAAATGGGAGCAAAGAAGTGACGGGGCATGGAGAAGAGAGACACAACCACTGCCCCCTGCCCAGGGACCAGTGCAGCCTCCCCAGGAGCCCCAGTGGGACCACTTGTCCACCTGCTATTGCTGCCAGTTCTGAAATCTTGCTCCACAACTTGTTGGGGTTTGAGGTTGTGGTTTTTTTGTTGTTTTCTTCTTTGCTGCAGCTGTTTTGAATTCCTCATGCATTTGTTTTCATTCATCAAAGCTTGCTACCTCATTTCTCCCCTTCTCTCATCCCTAGGAGTTCAGGCCTTTAAACAAGGGCCTCAGCTGTCCTCCCCATCACACATGCATCAGCCTTGGCTGCTGCTTTGAGACGCTCACAGAGTGCCACCAGGCTTCAGCCGGAAGGGAAAAGTGGCCTTTCAAAGGCAAATAGCTTCATTTGCGAGGCAGAGCCCCCTTTCACAAGCAGCTTCAAAAGCATCCCATAATTATTTCATGAGAAGCAACCTTTGAGCCTGTCTCATGAGGAAACATTACAGGGAAGCAGAGACAGAAGAGGGTCAGCCATTCCCCTCCTCTGGGCCATCTCATAGGGCAATTCAGTGCTGCTGTTGTAGGGGGACCTCAGGCTCAGTGGGATGTTCAGTGTCTCTGCAGGGGTCAGACTGCTTTCCAGCGTCACCACCACTATCCACTGCCCAGAGGCAGAGTCTGGAGAGACCAACCTCATACCAGGAGGATGAGGAACCATCCTGCACCCTTCCTTTTTCTCCCGGCTCTAGGACTGGAACTGACATATACATAGGGGAGGGCAGAGCCTCTGTCACATCTTTCTTTGTGTCCTCATGTCAAAGGGATGTGCACAGCTGTACAAAGACACAAGGCTGCCTTACTCTACTGCAAGGGGCCCTTCCATCCCAGTTGCCTTTAGAGGCATTTAACTTTTCAGAAAGGATAAGTCTGCTGAAGTTGGTACAGGTTGCCTCTCAGTACTGACCCCAAGCCCTGCTACTTGCATTACTATGTCTAAGCCCAGATGGTTCTGGTAGCATACATCACTTACCCATGTACAAGTTGTCCTCTGCAGGATCATCAAGGACCTGTAATGGATAACATAGAGATAAGGGGAAAGGGGGGAAAAGAAAAACTGCAGGAGAATAAAAAGTAACATTTTCCTGCTCCCTGTACCTTGTGCTGAGCTGCAAAGCACTGAGAATGCCTTATGCTGGTGTTGAGATACTCCTGCAGAAAGAAGGGCTTTGAAGGACACATTTTCCTGTCTCCAGAAAAATCTGTGCTTCTGTCTGTATTTGGAGAAACAGCCTCCCAGTAAAGGCACTGTTTGTTCTAACTTGACCTCAGCCACTAACAAAAATGACACCAAAGCCTTGCACTTGTGCACCTTCGCAGGCTGGGCTACACACAAGATTCACTGGTCAAAGCTAGCTGGTACTTCCACGAGCACAGCTAGCTGCCTTCTCCTGGGCACCAGCCCAAAGGCCAAGGTAAGTATGTCAGTTTGACACACCTGATTGGGATGATCTTGCTTGGTATCACCAGCCTACATTTCTGAATTTCAAACCAATTTTGGCTGAAGTAGGAGCAGTTGAAGAAGGAAGAAAAGAACCAGACTTGTTTCTGTGTAGGGTGGAGGAGCAGCTCACCTCTATCAGCTTAACAATGTTGACATGGTCCAGTTTCTTTAAGATGGCTATTTCCTGATAAACTCTCTCCAGTGGTGCCATGGGTTTTGGCTGCTCTCCAGAGGATGCTTTCGAGCCTCTGGGAGGTGGCCGACCTGCAAGTGGGATAATGTGGTGAAGAGCAGCTCATTTCTCAGCAGCACCTGGCATGCAGGAGTAAACAGCCACTGCCCCCTCTGCGCAGATACCTCCAGCTGTTCTGGAAGATCTCATCACCTTGTTAGCATCCCAAAGCATTACAGCGTCCAACTGGAACTGACATTTAAAAGCCCCATTCAGACCAGACTCCCAGCATGGTCTGTTTGCCACATCCCACAGAGCAGCCACTGGAGCCAGGTACTATCTGAGAGGGTAGAAGAGCCCCTGGGAGGAAGGGGTCTATCCTGCCCAAATTCCAGTACTTAATTAGGTTTCATAAATGGTGAATATGGAAGAGTCAGCTCTTCAAAGAGACTCAATATCAAAGCCAGGAACCTAATTACCAGTGCACTGAATTTCCCTGTGGTTGTGCCTCGCCTTCTCTACCCACTGCATTTTAACCAGCCCCTAACTACTTGGGCAGCTTTCGAACTAGGCCAAGCTCTGCAGTCCTTGCAGATAAGGTTTCTACAGAGGTTTTCCTGGCTCAGGACAACAGGCAGACCTCTAAATGCGAGATACCCACGTGGAAATCCATACTGCTTCAAGAGCTTCTTTTTGGAGAGGACTTTCATGGCCTGAAGGAAGAAGGAAAAGCAGTGTTAAAACTGAACAAGAGCCAAAGCACTCATGGCTGTGACACAGGAGTCTGCTGGGCATCAGGGACTGGCTTAGGTCTCCTCTTCAACCTAGACGTCTCCTGGTTAGTGGTGGCCACAACAGACTCACACACACGTGCTCACCCAGGCTTTCCTAAAGGCACTGCTAACCATTGGTTTCATTCATCTTTTTCCCCTGAAAAAGAAATTGTTTGGGCCTCTTTCTCTTTGTCCGATTTAAAATAAATCAAGATTTCTGCATTTGGGGCAGAAGCTTGAGGGAAGAGGTGGCTTCCTCGAGCTGACCTTTATGTACCTGCTGGTTTGGATGATGCTATGGCCATGCTGCACGTCAGAGCCACTTCAAGGCTGCTCCACTTTATGTTTGCTTTGCCCAAGGGTCTGGGAAGCAAAAGAGCTGCAACACCCTTGCAACCTGCTTCGCAGACCTGGAACAGGACAAGGACACAGCCCTTCCACCAGTTCTGTGCTGCCTGGGGCACCTTTGCTATTCCCAGGCACTATTCTTTAGCCCCATAAACTTCTTCCATGCTGCCAGAGCAATACAGAGCACCTGCAGTGTGATCCAGCACCATTCCCAAGGCCGTGAATGAGGTACTTTATGGGCATCCATCCCTGCACCATCAGAAGCAGAGAATCCAGCTCTGTACAGGAGCACAGTGAAAGCACAGGGAAGGAAGTGGGTTTTTGCCAACAGCTTCCCTCCATTCTCCTACCTGACTGATGCTGGCACTGCTGTGAAGCCAGGAAGGCAGCTGAGCTGTGGGAGAGGGTCAGGGTAATCTCTTCTGCCATCCAGACTGGCATTAGCATAGTGGCAAAAGGCAATGTGAATTTAATAGGCAGTCTCTGTGCCTCCATCTGCTCTCTGCATTAATAACCTTTTTGAGGGCCACTCCAACAGCCCCAAGTGGTCCAGCAGATAAATATTTCATGAGAAACCAGCTTATGGTACAATTTGCTTAGGAAAACAGCCTGTGCTCCCGAGAGCTGTGATGGTCACTCCCTTCCTTCTCCAGAATTGGTACTTACTCCTATTCATTAGGCATCCAAATGTGTAATTCACACTGGAGTGATCCCTGCAAAATATAATCAAGCAAGGACTGTGCAGGACACAAAGGCCAAGGAATTCTGCATTAATACCATGGAGGCAGGCTCCCTGCACACTACCTGCTTTCAACATGTACACCAGGAGCAGGTCACCAAACCCACTTCAGCAAACTCCTTCCCGAGCTGTTTTTCCTGGCAGCAATGCCACTGCACGCCCCAGGATTCCCACCTCCCATCAGTGCTCCATCTGCAGGCAGGCTCATGGCTCCCTGGAAGGATTGTTGGGTTTGGTCCTGATCCACTGAAATCCTCTGGATTTGCACCGATGTAATTGAGAAGAGCCACTGTAGTTCTCAGTCCTGCCTGACAGCTCCTGAGCCAACTGCTGGAAACAACAGTGTTGAGAGACAGACTCAGAGTGCTTATCTTGTACTTAGCACAGTGCTGTGGCCAATACACACAGCCAAATGATTCATGGTCTGCTGAAAGAGGATGCAAGATGTGTGCAGCCCCCTCCACGGACAGACAGGACCAAGCCTGGAGGACTTCCTGTGCTCCCCAATTTTATCCCTCCATAATGAAAATCTGTGGGAAAAAACAAAGGAATTGGTACACCTATTCCTGTTGCAACCATCACCAGCCTGGGAGGAGAATCAGAATCACAGAATGGTTTGGGTTGGAAAGGACCTTAAGCTCATCCAGTTCCAACCCCCTGCCATGGGTATGGACACCTCACACTAGCCCATATTGGCCAAGGCTCTGTCCAACCTTGCTCTCCTTGCTCCTACCCCACCCCGAGTCCTACCTGCCTTCTAGCAAGGAGCTTTAGGAAAAGAAGAAATAGAGGATGCAATTTGCTGCTGGCAGCTCCCAAGTTGCATCAATGCTCGGAGGCAGGCTCTGGGGAAAGGTTGGAGGGAGCAGGAAGGTACAGAGAGGATCAACAGCTCTTAGGGACAGAAATGGAGGGAACAAGAGCTACTGATGTCACCCAAACGCCTCAAAGGATGCTACGAGGGAGAGATGAGTGAGGATTATTGTCTCATGAGTGAGCTGATTGCAAATCACATCTACTGCTGTGGAAGAAACACCAGGATGTGGTTATACCAACCTCAAAGCACCAATATCTGCTGCTACACAAGCATGGCCAGATCAGAAGACAGGAGCTGTCCCATGGGGGATGAAGAGCAAACTTCATCATGCAACAGCCAGAGCCACTTGATTATCACAAGAGCAGAGAAGAGAGCACACGGTGGAGAAGCCTCACTTTAAAGTACAAGCTGGCAGGAGAAAGCTTCCTCACTGAACTGTGGCTGTGCAAGATGGGAGCAGCACAGGGATGCTTCAGCAACCATCTCCTCCTGGGCTCACATGGATGAGAGAGCCAAAGATATTTGTACTCACAGGCAGAGCTAATTACACAGGTAATGCCTTCTTGATGAAGAACAATCTCAAAGCCAAGCTGAGGGATTTTCCCTTTGCACTGGCAAGCACTGCTTCAGCTTCCTCAGGAAAAGAGGGAGCCTGGAGGAGATTTCCTCCACACATGCCCTTGTACCCACCTTCCTTCCAACTGTTCACACACGGATGGGGTCTGGACATACTCTCTTGAGAGGCAGCAGGAATCATGTGCTTTTCTTTGTTGTATGGTTATTATTTAAGCTTACTGCTCTCCTCCTAGCACCACAGGGAAGCTGCCTGGGGGAAAGGTGATCCCAGGTTTATGGAAAAGAGGGATGCCTGTGTTACAGCAGCTTTTGCCACAGCAAGACCTTGATCTGCTGGTAACAACAGCAAAATAGCCATTAGTTTCAGGAGGGAAGGGTGATAAAATGGATTGAGACAATGGAACTCACCAGCTGTCCTCTGCTCTGTTCTCACAGCACTTAAGATGTCACTTTATCTGCTAACAGAGACCTGCATTGCAAGGACAGAGACCTATGCACAGTCCCTACTTGCAGCCCTCAGGGTAGTGAGATGTTGCTCAAAGGTTCCTACAAACCACTTAAATCCTCTGCTAGTGCATGACAGCACCCTATGGAAATGGTGAGCAGACCAGAGAGCATTTCCTTGCCTGTCCTGACAGCAACATCCCTCAGATAAAGTGGCTAAGAAGGAAGCTCTGGCAGGAGAGAGGAGTGCTATGCAGCTGACAGTGGTTCAGTAGCTTTACGTGAGCAAGAGGATGAGAAACATGGGAGCTGTGCCTTCCCTTCCCACCTGGATGGTGACCAAAGTGGACTCTCCAGGGGCTAGAAAGTTCTGGGCTTACTGCTGGCCACCTTCTCCTCCGCAGCAGCACTTTGCTCAGCTCTTTTCATAAACTTGCAAGGAATTTCTCCCCATCATCGACAGCTGGTAGAAAGCAGCCCTCCATGCAAAGGTTGTCAGGTACAGAGGCAGAGAGCACAACCACACAAATCTTGTTTCTTAGGAAACCAGATTAAAAAAGAAGAAAAAGGAAAAGAGAAGCCCACTGACAACGTACAATGCTATTGCTTTTGTCCAGAAGTAGCATAACAAATGTACATCATAACCACTTTTATTTGCAAGCTGATTTAGAGATTGAAACTAGGAAGCAGACATGACCCGAGGCATCACAGAATCAAATTCCATCAGCACAATGACTCCAAACTCAATCTCCATCTGGACACATTTGCCTTTGCTTTTTATTTGCTGCTTTTCCACAGAGCTTGGCTTTTCCTTTTTCCCATGGTCACTGTCAAAGCATCTCCTGCAAACTGAGACACTGAAACCTTTCCAGCTGTAAAGGCTTCCTTGTCAGAGCCCCACAAATGCTGGTGTGACACCTTCACAAGCCCCAGCAGCAGCAGTAGGAACTGAGTGCAGTGGCAGGGCCCTCTGCATCCCAACAGGGTGTCCTCCTAGAAGACAGCAGTGGGTCACACATGTGGTGTTGAAAGTTCCATTTCCTTGCCCTAATACATTCCCTGCATCCACTGATGCAAGTCAGCACGCTTTCACAGTCGTCCACGGCACAGCAGTCCTTCACAGAGATGAAGGATAAAGCTCTTGGAAGCACTCTCTGATCTTTAATGGAAGGTGAACACCCCACAAAGTAAATACAGCCCAATCTACACTTTTCCCAAATGGGAACAGCTTTTCTTTTTCCTTCAAGAGTTTTTCCTAATTCTAGGCCAGCTCCAAAACACATTCAAGCAACAGAAATCTTCCCTTTTGCTTTGACAGGAGCTAGATCCAGTTCCTGGTACCTATAAACTGCCTTTTCTATGAGAGCCAGCAAAGGGCCTCAGCCTCAGCAAGAGCCAGGAGGCACACTGAATTATACTTCAAAATAGAAATCTTCTGCTTTCTTTGAGGTTTTTTTATCACAGCATGCTAAAGAAAATACAGCAGGCAGCAACACTCTGGCCTCGTGCTAAAACACTGCAAATGTGAATCGATCAGGGACTGCTCAGTAAAGACCAAGGGCTGATTTCCTCCATTATCTGTTATTGCTTTTCAGCACTGAGACAAAACCAACCCTTCAGAGCTAAATTTGAGGAAAACACACAGAAAAGGCCCTCCCCAGGTATCAGAGTTGCACATTTCTCCTACTAACAGGCATTAGGTACTGCCCCGGGGTGTCGGGGTGCATTGCTGCAGTGCAGTCTCAGACAGGAGCGATATGGACATGGAAGTCATCTCAACACAGGGACAGCCAGTTATGCAGTTGGCTGCTCTTTCTCCGAAGCTTTGTCTGCCAGCTCTGGGCTGTCTTAATATCTGGGAAAAGCAGAGGTGTCTCCACCATGGCTTGCCCTCTGAGAAAACATCCACACAGGCACCTGGAAGGATTAGGGGTGCCAGCCTGTCTGCATGTGACTGTGGCTAGGGAAGGGGGAAAGCTCCTGCTACCCCAGCTGAAGGGTAAGAAGTGCATGAAACACAGACGTCAGCATCACAGCCCTTCAGCAGCAGTGCTGCCACCTGCCCTCTCCTTTCCCACATCCACTGCAATGGAACACAGGCAGACACAGCCCATGAGCTCTCGCTCTGGTCCCACCTCTCCATTTGCTGTAGCACCCACACACCTCCCAGGATCATATTCACAGCCCCAGCATCCCAGCTGAGACCTGGTTCAGACCCTGCCTCAAACACCCCCAAAAGGAGAATCAGGGTGAACCAAAGAAGGTTTGGGATCTGCACATCCTGTCCCTCTTCAGGTAGTGAGACTGAAACAGTGCCCACCCAGGCATGGGAGCTCCTCTGATGCTGTAGTAGCTTTAAAGTGTTTGCTTAGATTAGAAAAAGAAATGCAGATTAAGTGGGGATTAACTAACACACACCAGGCTAACCTGGACACAGACTTTCACTTTTGACTTCGAGTCAACCTGCTAAATCCATGTCCATGGTGTTACAAAACATGGACAAGAACAGAACAGGCAATGCTAACCTAAACCCAGCTCTCTCCTGCCAAGTTGTGACAATCACCCTGCCCACAGCACAGCATCAGGATTCCCAGAACAAAAGGGCAGCACCAGAAGTACACATCACAACTTTCAAAGCAGTATTTTCAGCTGGAAATAACTGCGATGGGAGGTGTTCCCACTTTGGGCTGCTGGACCTGGCACTGCCTAAGCCAGTGGGACAGATGGATCAGGGAAGCCACCACTGCCAATCAGAAGTGTCTCACTGCAGGGCATGGGAGGGAGGACACGCAGGGCAGCAGAGAAAGGGATCCCCTGGAAACAGCAACTACTCTGGTGGGGTGGGTGAGTCAGCTTGGAAAGGAAAGGAGATGGAAAGAATTGTGGTTCCTTTGCTTGGGCACCTTGTCCAGATTTTTGTCTCATCTCTTCCATCCTTCATTTCAAGACATTTCTCCTGCAATTTCATGCCTGCTGGAAGGGCTAACAAACACTAACAGACGTCCCACCCAACCCCTCCAACCCGATACGTCGCTTGTAAATCCAAGAGTAAGGGATGAAAAGCTAGCTGGGGAGTAGCAGGGAATGAGCACACTTTATATCTGCATAGCATATTCTTGCTCCCAGCAGCTCTGTGCACTGGGACAGGGAGAAAGCAGCACACAAGTGTCTGCCTGGGTGCTCTGATGGGCCCATTTTCACCTATGTGAGGCCACTCCATGGCAGCAGTGAAAGCAGGACCCTCTCACCAGGCACAGTATGGAGCTGAGCCAGGCAGGGCTGCATGGAGGGCAGCAGGGTTTAGGTTCAACAGCCCCTCAACCACCCAGCTCTGCTCAGCAGGTATCTGCCCTGGATCCACCAGACGCTGCTGGAAGCCATTTCCCCAAGCCTTCAGGCACAGCCACACACACAAGGCAGTTTGGCTTTTACCAGCTGCCCAGCTCCTGCCCTCAGCCTGATCAAACCATGCACAGGGCAAGCCCAGGGACATGAGCACATCTGCAGATGGATTTTACAGGAATCCCAGCTGGGACAGTCAGGATTCACCTGCCTCTGAAAGGGGAGGACCAGAGAAGGAGCCTCCAGCATGAGCAGCCTTTTTGCATCTGAAACCCTTCAACTCTGGCTTCAGCTCAGCAAAGGATTTAAAAGCCAAGGTTTGCCTTCTGCCCGGCACCCTACACCTCACCACCTGACAAGTAAGGTCCTGTCTGGTGTACAGGGAGGCATCCCACATGGGGGTAAGCTGCAGGGGAGCCAGGCACTGCCCAGCTGGGCCATGCTGTTCAGCATCTTTCTTATAAAACACCCCCATTTCCTTACATATCTTGCCTGCTGATTCCAGGCCAATCTTCCAATGCACAGCAGGTGCTGAATACCACCACCCACATGCCTCTAATTTCAGGTGACCTGCTTCATAGCTAGAAAATGTCAGGACAAATCAGGAGCCTGCCTCCAAGATTCCTGCCTCTTGCATAAGGCAGCCCACCCCATCTCCCTCCCATTTGGCACTGCACACAAGCAGCAGCTCCATACCCAGTGGGAGCTGGTTCAATACCTTGCACACTACCCAAATCAGAAATGCAGATGTTAAAGGAGCAAGGCAGAGGGGATTCTAGCTCTCAGGGAGGCAAAGAAGGATGAGGAGCAGGGGAGAGACACACTTACGTAGTATTTGTCATCGTTCTCATTGTAAGCCAGTTTCACAACCCCGTAGGAACCCTAAAAATAAACACACATTGCACAGTCAGTTCAGCAGCTTCACCTTGTCTCCTTGCTGCTCAAGGCTGCTGCACCATGGCCGCAGACAGGGACCAAAAAACCCACCTTCAAGGTCCCAGACTCTGCCTACCCCTAAGCAAAATCTGCAGGTGATGGAAACCCGCAGCAAGGTTGTATATTTTGGCAGCTCTGTTGGAGCCCTGGGGCATTTAAGGATTAACAGTGTCTGGAGGAGTTGAGTGTTAGCCCATCCTGCCCTGTGCCAAAGCCAATGTGTCTGTCTTACCTCCAGCGTGGGTGGGGAGCAGAGAGAATCACTGCCAGGCAGATCTGTTTTGTGCAAGTTTGGAAATTCTGCATGACTCCCTTTCCTGTACTTGTGCACAAGACCACTGTCAGCACAAAACCTCTGTATCTCTTGAGAGCAAATGGACTTCAATGAGGACCAGCCGCTTGCTTTACACCAACTGCATGCTGACCAGGCAGATGCAGACCTGGATTGCTGCTGTAACCACAGCTGCAGGGACAGCTTGGAGCCAGACTCCATCCAAATCACTATTTTTTTTGCAGTTCTATGTCAACACTATACATTTTATGCAAGCAAGTCATGACATCATGGCTAGGTACCATCCCTGACAGATACCTGGAATAGTTTGTGTTGGAAGGGACCTTAAAGCTCATCCAGCTCCAATCCCTGCCACAAGCAGGGACACCTTCCACTAGAGCAGCTTGCTTCAAGCCCCTGTGTCCAACCTGACCTTGAACACTGCCAGGGATGGGGCAGCCACAGCTTCTCTGGGCACCCTGTGCCAGCACCTCAGCACCCTCACAGGGAAGAACTTCTTCCTAATCTAGATCTCCCCTCTTTCTGGTACCTACTGAATAAAGGAGTAGGATTAACACTATAGCCTTGAAAACCTATTTCTTGACCTCACTAATAGCTGGAATGTAGGTGCTGTTCTCAGAGGAGAACAACAAGCCATCCAGATTATCCAGAAGAACAGCAGGTCCAGTAGACTCTCTACCAACCTCAGGGTGCCTGTCTGCTCACTGTGACTCAAAGGGAAGGAGGAGGTAGGGCAAATCCACCACAGAAAAGGCCTCATGCTCTCCTTAAGTCATACTTAAGCCAACAACAAAAGCCATAAGCTGTGTGTGAGTTTCAGATAACATCAACTGGTCTGCTGTACCACCAGCAGTGGTATCTCCATCCTTACCTGCTGATGCCAGCAGTCAAACGCACAGCCTACTGCACAGATGGTAAGGTGCCTCCTCCCATGGCCTGGGGCCTTCTGCTTTAGAGAGGAGTTTGTGCTAATGAAACTCCTGGTGAAGGTCTCTGCAGCTCAGGGTGCAGTCCCTTCTGACTGCAAACATAAGCTTCCAGACAGCACCATCGCTCATGGCCCCATCTGCAATCGTGGCAGACATCCAAACGTGCAGGTGTCTGAGCTGCTTACCAGCCCAGACCTCTAAACAACTTTGGAGGAATCTCTTTTGAATCAATCTGCAGCCTTTAAATGCGGTCTACAATTAAACTAGTGTTTCATTGCTGGACATAAAAGCTTAAAACTCGTCCTGGGGGTGACCAAACACCTGCCCTGATCTTTGTCTGGTTTTCTTTCCTTGATGGGTTGTATTAATGCGTCAGAGGCTGTTAGTGTGACATTTGGCAAGCAAACCCCCTGGAAGGGAGCCAGCTGAACAACCTGCACAGGGAAGGAAGGTAAATTTAGCTTTCAGAGGAAGTAGCTCCACTTTGACCTTGAACAAAACTTGCTCAAACTAATAAGGCATAAACTAAACACCCCCAAACCAAACACAGGGGTTGGCCTTGGCCAGTAAGGTCACTTATCCTGGCACAGTCTTTTCACTCACGTGTGTACGTGCAGGTTGCTTGCGACAAACACCAGCTCCAGGAACTTACCTTGCCTATTTCACTCTGCAGCTTGTACTGGTTTAACTGCACGCAGTCCTGCAGATCAAAAGAACATAATTAAAGTGTTGGTAAAAGGAAACGACTGAGTTTGAATCAATATCAAGTAGAGGCAGAGTGCTGAATAATGAAAGACTAAATCTCATTTAAACGGATATGCGTTACACTAGAAACACTTTATTTTATTGTGCTCAGTACCAAGCAGGAAAATACCTGTCCCCAGCTCCACGGAGCTCTCTCCAGCCCCAGGGTCACAGCATCAGCCTGGCAAAGGCAGGGACCCTCTGTGGGCTGCAAGCAAAGGCTGTGCCTGTACCCAGAGGAGCCCTCACCTGGACCATGGGCTGGTCTTGGAGGAGAGCACATGGATCCAAGTTCCTCTGCTGTGCCACACAATCAATAAAGGATTCCTTTAAAGGGAATCTGGTAAAATACATGACCCCTAAGCAGGTCTGATCCTTGTGTGCAAGCTACCCAGCACTGAAACCACAAGGGGTGGGAAGGGGGTGGATGCTGCAAGCTGTGACAGGGCTGTAATGGTGGGGTGCTGAGTTACTCAATGGCCAGGAGCATCACAGGGAGTGATGATGGCTGGAAAGCAAGGTGGAAGAGAAAAGCCAGGCACTTACCTGGTATTAAATCCACCCTTCCTTAGCATTGTACTACCTACAGGAAAACACTTCCACAGAGCAGCAAAAGCTCCACAACTCTGTTTCACTGGGAGCTGACACCTCCACCCTCATTAGTTACAAGCAGAAACCCCCAGATGCCACAGAAGCCCTGGGGGGCTCCAGACCATGAGTGTGGGCAGAGCACTCTGCCTGCACCAGGCTCTGCCTGCACTGCCTGGCTGCTGGGGAGCACCCAGGGACCTGCCTGCCTTGGCCACCACAATGGGGACCATGGGGAGAGCTCACACCTTGCTGCAGTGCAGAGCTGCTGGCAAAGAGTCAGAGCGTTCTTATGGGGATCTCTGCCATTGTCTGGACTTCACACACAGCACTTAACCTGCATTGCAGGGGCACGGAGAGCCCCAAGCTCGCTGGGGTGAGAGAAGGGCCCCTCTGAGGTGGGGTGTGCTCAGCTGTAGATGGGACACGCTTCCCCACACACAGCACACACTATTTGTCCCTGAGACTGCCAAGCACTAAAAAGGCTGGAAATCCACTTCCAGCCTCTGCACCAGCAACAAAGCTGATGTAATATACACAGACAGGTAGATTAGCCTCCCCATAAACTTCAAAATAGCCCTGCAGTCTACAGAAGTAGTGCCAGGAGAGCAAAGCTGTGCCAGACACCTTCAGAAAGATCAAGGGGTGTTACAGCCTTGGCCCCATGCAGAATCCCCATCCTCTGCCTCTCAGGATGCAATAGAACATGGACATGGTAGATGTATCTTTTACTTTCCCCACCATCACCAACAGAAGACACTCCTAACTCAAGCAATCATCACAGCAAAGGAGAACACAGGAATGGTGAGGTGATGACTTTTTAAGCTTGCAAGCACTGGCTTGTCAGGAATACAAGGAATTATTTCAATCTTGATCTTGTTCTCAGTAAGGAAAGCTTTTTCTACTGCTCTGACAGGGAAGAGGAGCCAATTGTGAGTAATGAGCCCATAGAAGTGTATTAACTCTGCTGCTAGCAGAGCACATATCATTCCAAAGGCAAAACCCCATACATCAGAACTAAGAGCAACTAGACAGGAGAGAACAAGACCCAGCAAAAGCAAAGATGCAAAACACATGGCCAGTGCAAAACTGCAGGGATGAGGAAATGCTCACCAAAACAGCTGATACAGACAGGAAAAGCCATCACCCTCTGAGAAAGCTTCCAACCACCTCAGTATCTCCTGCCCCTGCAATGACCAGGTCCTGTTACCAAGCCTGCTCCCCTAAGTCAGGATTACTTCCATAAGTAAATACAGCCTTTTCCACGTAGCTATAGACAATTTGGTCTGCACTCAGTACTGTGCTTCAAGCCAAGGTGACATCTCTAAAGCACCAAGTCTGCTGCTGCTTCTTGCCAACACAGTGTAGCCCCCTCCAGAAAGAGCAGAGCCCTCTGTGCAGGTACGGTCCATCCAGTGGGCAAACCCCCTTCCAAAGCATTTAGTGCAACCGAGGAGGGACTATTCCTTGTCCCTGTGTCCAAGGCACCAATTCCTTTGACTCTGACCATCACCTTCCCCTCATTCATTACCACTCTCATCCTGCACCAGACTGATCACCTGAAATATCTCTCTAGTTCTTCACTGTTGCTAAATAGAGCTTGTGAGCAATGCTAGGACACCCTTTCGCCATCATCTGAGCTCTTCCCATGCTTCCAGCATTTGAGCTGAATGCAGCAAAATCACAACAGATTATAGGTGTCTTCTACCTTTTTCTCCTTGGAGAAAGCCCCTAATTCACAGCTCAAGTGACGGCTGCCACGTGTTGCTGCAGACTGGCAGGGTGGTTATGATGTTATTTGGTTCTCCTGCAGGAAGTGGGATAATTGTACTGCTCCTTTATCGGAGTAAAACACTTATCTCGGGGCCAAGTGTTTCTTAAAGATAACATTGTACAATGCTCTTGATTTCATCACGCCAGTGTATTTGCAACTGCTGCTAAATGAGAACAGAACAAGAACCTGAATGAGATCCTTTAATGAACAGCTGTCAGCAAATCAGACTGCTGTGTCTGTCCAAGTGAGCAAGAATTGTTCCACTTTAAAAACAACCTGCCCCATTTGTTCACATCTCCAAGGTATTACTCAAGAGAGGGAGGGGAGAATCAATGCCACAGAAAACAAAAACTGATTAAAAATCACAAAGCACAGTGAATGAGTTGGAAGTGAAACAGGAGAAGTTCAGGTTAGACGTAAGGAAGAAGTTCTTTACTGGGGAGGTGCTGGCACAGGGTGCCCAGAGAAGCTGTGGCTGTCCCATTCCTGGCAGTGCTCAAGGCCAGGCTGGAAAGAGCCTTGGGTGACATGATCTAGTGTGAGGCATCCCTGCCCATAGCAGGGGGATTGGAACTGGATGATCTTAAGGTCCTCTACAACACAAACAATTCATTCTATGATTCTATGAAGCCCAGAGTCCAGGCCCAATTCCATAAATCCATTGCCACCACCACTGGGTGACAGAAACCCTGAGAATAGAGAATTGAGCTTTGCTGTCCAGGGGTGAATGCAGGGATGAGGAGGAAGAGCTGGAGCTTGTTTCCAGACTAAGCAGGCTGCCCACATACTTATATAATGGGTGCCCTAAAAGAAGGCAAACCCAGGAATCTGAAAAGAAGGCAGTTTCAGCCTTTCAGAGATACACTTTAAAGAGGAGCAAGGGAAAGAAAACTGGGAACTAACACCGGTTTAAACACATCCTGTCTGGAAAGGGAAGTGAAAGGAGTTCTAAAGAGAGACAAAATTAAAAGCCAGACAAGGGGTAATACAGGGGCAGCAGTGAACACAACAACAAGTTATTCAGGGGCAGAGCACGACACACTGAAAGCCCAGAGCTCACGGAGGTAAAAGAAAGAACATCCAGACCCAAATGCTGAACCTGAAGCCCAGCACCATGAGTGGCTGCTGGCAGGAGCACTGGCACAAGGCTCAGCACTGCTGGCTGGGCTCACACACCCCCAACCCCAAAGCTGGATGTATCCTCTCATTGGCAGAGCAGTCAGAAGAATGCAAGGGGGCTGGGACCAGTGGGATGAAGGCAGCTCCTTTCCAGCCCCTCTGCAGCTGCAGCTTTGGGCTTTCTCCTTCCCTCAAACCTTGCTCTTCTACAAGTTGGCGATGTAATTTTAAACAAAGGTTAATTAATACAAGGAAAAGAAGTTAGCAATGCCTGGGGGAGGCTCTTCTTTGAAGAAATGTTCTCCAAGTCTGTATGATCTTTTCAAAAGAGCTGCACTTTGAGCACCACAGAAGAGATGAGTTTGGGAGACTCGTGGAAGGGGAAACTCTCCAGTCCACGCTGTGTAGGAGCTTTGTCCCCACCACTGCCCTGGTCCCACCTGGCTTCACCTCTGTACACTCCTAACAAAACCAGGCAGCTCCCAGAGACTGGAGGAGCATGAGACCTGGATCAGCCTGGCGCTGAAGCACTGCCTCTCGCAGCTCTTGGACACCAGTTGCTTCAAACCAGTTGGCCAAACAAGCAGGAGACCTATGATAAAGATGTAGGAAGCCAAGGAAAGAAAGGACAAAGCAACCTGTTTTCCATGCCACTGGGATAAGCCCTGGACCTCAAGCTTTGGAAAATTCCCTTTGTCAGCTCGTCCTCCTCCCTGCACAGCTGGGCCAGCAGCAGCTGCATCAAAGAGGAAGAATGCACTGGCCTGACTCATCTTCCCCACTCCTAAAGCACAGAGGGCCCCAGCTGATGGCTGGATGCTGGAATGACCTCCTGCTGATCCCAGAGGGTGGAGAGACCATGCAGGCACCAGGGCTGGAAAAACAGAGATGCCAGCGAGTGGGTGGATGCTGGGAGAGAAAGGGAATGTGTGAAAGAAAAGACAATGCAGCCAGAAGAGACTGGAGAAGAGAAAGTAAAAAGCACTTAAGAGTGCTGGCAGGTATGGGGAGAAAGCCTCGAAAAAGACATCTTTTATTCTTCTATCCACCCTCCAAATAAGCCTTCTTGGCTACCTATAAAGGTTGGTTTGGGATGGCAGAATAAAAACCCTCACAGCACTGCACTGTCAAATGCCACTTTCCGACAAGCAGCACCTCTACCCTTTCACAGATACAAGCCCTGCCATTTTACGGGGGACAAGCTCTGTCAAACATGGTGACAAGGTGCCCATCAGTCTGTACAGACATGGTCCCAAGAGCCTTGCCCTGGAACCTACAAGCACTGGAGCATCATCCGTGCAGCAGAGCAGCAGCTGCTTTTAGCAGCCCCAGGAAAATCCTCTTGCCACACTGCCAGCACCAAGCAGGAGCTGAGAATGTCACATCAAACAGAGGCAATGTGGGCCAGCAACCCAAATATTGGGACCTGAGCCTCAGCTCTGCAGTTAGGTACCCTTAATTGTACTAGCTTAATGACTTCTGGGCCACAGCTAAACGCAAAGCCATTCCCTTGTTAGAGCAAAACACTGATGGGCAGCAAAGGCACCAGAAATCCTACCAGCCTCATGAGCACTCCATCCAGAGAAGGCAGCACTGAAAAGGCCTTCCAAGGCCATAGTCCATGAATAATCCAAGAAAGCAGGGAATGAGCAGGAGACTTTTTAAACTACAGATCAGTTTTGACAGAGATAGGGCAGATCAGGTTAAGCACACAGCAGTGCTGTGAGGAGAGCAGAACAGATTCCTCCTCTTGCAGAGTTAACACCACAGATCCAGACTTCACAGCAGTAGCTGCAAGCTGCCAACTGTGTCCCAGGGCATTGGGAACTGCCTTTATGCAAGACAAGAAGCCCTGGCTCTGCTGCAGCCCTGCCAGCCCAGGAGCCATCATCTTCCTAAATGACAAACCCAAGCAGCCCCACTCAGAAGGCAGGGACAGGACATCCCAATTCACTGCCCGCTCACCGCTGGGTGAATCCTCCAGCAGCATCACAGCCTCAGCTTCAGCTCTTGGGTCCTCTCACCCCTGAATATAAGTTTTCCTCCCAGTCTGTGAACAAATATCAAGGTAGCATTGGAAAGCTGAGCAGAGTCCCTCTAACTGACACATGGTGGTTCTATAATTTAGCAGAGAACAACGGAAAATTCACCTCTGCTGTATCCTCATAGCACATCTCTCCATTATTCCTCCAGACGAGTCGAGGACACAGAGCTGCTGACAGCAAGCTGACACTCCTGCTATGACTGGAGAGAAAAGCAGATTCCAGCCTAGATGGCTATCAGCACAACACAGGAAACGTTGATATGCACTGTGCCATCCATCTCTGCTCCTGATAGACAGTGCCAGCACGTGTGCCACTGATAAAGCCCAAATGCTCATCAATTTCATTTTCATTCTTGCACACTGACTCACTCGGGCAGCAATGGATGAACTGCCACCTGAAAGGCACTGACTGATGGTGCTGGATACTCAGCGCAATGAGAAAGGAGCTGGTGACAGCCATGGTCTTGAGTGCAAATGTGCAGCTTGCCTAGGAGATGTGTCAGAGTCATTTGCAGGGAAACCAGGGGCAATGCCATGACCAGTGAGCTTGATCTTGCCAGTGACCCACCAACCTCCCTGCTCACGGAGGGCCTGCACATCAAAAACATCAACAGAAAACACAGCAGCAGCTGCTGCTCATACACTGGGGCTGTACTTCTCATCACAGATTTATTGTATAACCACAACTGAGGGCCAAAAGCCTCAACACGGAGTCCCCCATAACTCCTAAAAGCCCAGCCTGTACCTCCTGCCTTGGCAGTCTTTCCTGCCCAAATGCACAGCTTGGCTAATTGCTTAGAGCAAATGTACTGAGCAAATACACTGAGCAAATGCACATCACAGCAGAAGATCTGCTCCCCATTTCTGTGTGTTCCCTGCTGTATAGCTCAGATGTGGACTGTCACTGCCTCTCACAGCCATGAAGACCGTGCAACATATGCACTTAGGCAGGTCATCCATGGGATGCTGGAGCTGGGCTGTGCGCAGCCTGCATGCTCACCTTGCTGTCACACACCTAACACTTATTTCTCCTTATTCAGTGGTCAGTTTCAAACTTTCTCCTATAAGCAAGTATGCATCTTCCTAGTCCTCTTGTTATTCCTTACAGGATACAGATACTGCCCCTATAAGCTGGGAAGATGAAGCACAGCTCCTGAGAGCACTGCTGCAAGGGCAAGCACCCACCTCCAGACCTGCACAGCTCTCACCTGGTCTCCCTTTCCCCTCCTACCCCAGTGATTCTCCATTAATATGAATGATGGTTTCCAAGGAGCAGGGCTTTGTAAGCATCTGGGCTGCACTGGAGCAGGGCTCTTAATAGTTATGTCAGAGTGACCATTAAAAACACAGTACAGTGCAGGAGCAGGGAAGTGGAAGGCTCCACATCTGCACTTCAAACTAAGCATTTCCTACACAGTAGGCAATAACCATTGCTCCCCAGGATGCAGATGCTGTGGAAGAGGACAGGGTATTTTGGCTTTGCTTGCAGATGGGAATGTGCTAGTCACACTTGACTGCACTTCCTTTGAAACAGATTTCAGACGAGCCACACTGCTGGCACAAAGTACTGCAGGATGGGAGAGCTGGCACACAAGTCACGTCCGCTTCCAAAACTGGCTCCTCTCCTCCCTGTCTCCCTTATTAAAGCATATGGCTGCTGTCAGAGAAGCTGAAATCTCTGCAGTGCACCTTCTGTGGATATCCTCTTATCCTGGGGGAGTGTCACAGCCCATCTCACAGCTAATGTGATGTGCAGAACTTCCCAGGGGACAATGACCAGTTTGCTTGGGCGCAGCACTCACCCTCTCAGATGTGCAAAGGGCAAATACTCACTTTCCAGGAGGAAAACCATAAACCACACAGATGCTGAGCTCTAGGTCACTTGGCAAAAGTCTAAACTTCAGGGGTTTGGGCCCTTATGACCACAGTGGGATTTAGGCATCTCATCTGGAAGCACCAGAGGGCCCAAGAACAACACATTGGCACAGTGGCACCAGCACAGCCACATTCAGTAACATCTTCTTCCATCAGCTGAAGAGTCAGAGTGTAGCAGCTCTTGAGCCCCTGGCTGCTGTGTTTGTGCCTGGACACAGCAGCAGAGGTGAATTCATGGATGAGCATTGCTCTACTTTCAGTTCTAGGAGAAAAGGATTGAAAATACCCATGAAAAGGGCCTGTCCCTCACCACAACAAGGCTCATGGTCACAAGAGTCTTCTGCAGCACAGAGCAGGAGATGCAGCCCTCCCTGCAGGGTAAGGCCAGCAGGTCCATTCCTCTCTCTTATGGCAGCTCCAAGTGAGACTGCAGAGCTGTGGCACCCACAGAGATCCCCCTCCCCTTCTTCTGCCCTGCCCTAATCCGCAAGAGCAGAAACACAAGACAAATATGACTGGGAATCAAATTCAGTCTGGAGAAAAACATCAAGGCGTGGAAAACGTGGTTTTCCTCCACAAATAGCAGATAAAAATCTCGGGAAAAGGCACAGCCTGGACTTGGGGGAAAATTCAGGCATAAATCCATGTTTTCTTCCCCAGACCAACTGCCAGTGCTGCTGAGATGCTGCTCCCTCTCCAGTACTCCAGACAGCCCATTCCCTACTTACAAACTTTCCCCAGAGAGTAGCATTTTACAAAACATTGTGGCTTCAAGAAGCACCCATATTACGGCACGTCCATCACGCCTGGCTGTCAAAGAAAGCCCTGCCCCTTCCTCATGGGCATTGCTGCAGGCTCAGTGGCTCCAGCACCACACTGAGCATGGTCTAAACAAGCCCCCTCCCTCTGCTCCCCATCCTCTCCAAGACACACAGCACAGGGAATTACAACCAGCAGATGCTTCCAACAAGACACTTGACCACTAACAGCGTGTTACACTTCAGGGACAAGTCTGAGCCCAGGTCTAGCAGCAAAGAGCTGCCACAAGATGGACAGCAGGAACAGCCACAGGCACCCTGAGAGACTCCTCTGAAGGAGAGAGGAGGGTCACAGCCCTTGGTTACCACTGCTGTTACAAAAGCTTTAAAGACAAAGGGAAATCATGACAGGAGTAGGAAGAATCAATGTATTTAAGCTCTTTATAAAATTAAAACATGCCTTCAATAATGGCAAAACACAGTAGGAGATACATAATCTCCAGAAGCTTAAATCCATAAAATACCAGCAGCAAAGCTGCTGTGACTGATAAACTCCCGAAGGGCACATACAGAAGGGACATGAAAGCAAAGCAATCTGGGGGCAGCCCTTTCTCTGAACAGCATAAGAGGCTTTCTGTGTGCCACTGCTGCCGCTACAGGGGCCCTGGCCCCTCAGCAGAACTACCCCAGGCAGGTGAGGGCTGAAGGACCAGCACAGGTCTGGAGGATGGATGCAAAGGCCATCACAAGCTAACGCACTTTCCAGTTGCAGGGATTTTTTTTTCCCCTTAGAAGAAACACTGCTTTCAGATCTACTCCTCCAAAAGACTGAAGACACCATTACCAGTTAAGACAGACTTGCCTTACCTTGACACCACAAGTGTAGGAGGGAATGTGCCTACCTCGGAATCTGATATGGAGACCCGATTGGACTCTATTGTTGGTCTCCTCATTATACGTGGTGATGGCCCTGTGGCATAAGGACCATAACCTGGTGTGTTGCTAGAAGCCAAATAACTTCCTGATGATCTTTCCTGAAGAGACAACTTCCTACTTGATAATACAGGTCTAGTGAGAGGTCTCTTGGGAACATTCCTCCAGTGAGCATCTTCTGACCGTGGGGAAGGCAGAAATTCATTTGTTCTCATGTCACTGCTGACTCCATTCCTTTGGCTGTCTTTTAGGTTATCAGAAAAGACTGTGTCATTCTCTTCAGTGTTGCCTTCACCATTTTGGTCACTTCTGTCTGGACCAACAGCCACATCTATAGCTGCTACCTGCTCTGCCAGTTCAGTCTGTGTATCTTTGCAGCACATGTCTGTACCTCCATCCATGGCATTTGCTGAAGCATCCCCCATGGCTGTGTCCAGCTCGTATGGTCTCAGATGGCACTGCAGAGAGCTGTGATGCTCACAGACAGCATCTGGCCTGAAGGAACCTCTCCATGAAATACCTAAAAGGAATAAATACAAACAGAGTGAGTAATTGTATTCACTCAACACAACCACAACCAAGACGTTCATCTCTGGCTGCTTCCAATGTAAACGAAAGGGAAGGCAAAACACTGGCAGGTTGTAAACAAGTTGCAAACACTCAGAAGGAAAGGCAAACCTAAGCATCAGGCTAGGGTTTATAAAAGCCATAAACAGGAGATTTTATTTGATGTGCAACAAGTGACACAGCTAAAGTGAACTTCTTCTGTAGTGAGACCAAGAGTCAACCAGAGCTTACAATAAAGGGAGAAGTGAACAAGCTGAGGAGAAGGGGTCAAACTTTTGACTTCTCAAATTCCTATTTATAGGGTACAAGAGCTTCTGGTATGTATCCAAACCCAACACACATAACTCCACAGCCTTTAGGGTTCCACGGTAGTCTCTCTGCTGCTCTGTAGGGTTCTAAAGAGTGGCACAGAATGCCCTGGAAGCCAAGCCATGGCTGGTGACTTCCACACCCTGTTACTTGCAATGGAGTCAACAGCAAAGGCAGAATTTAAACGTCAGTCTGGTACTAGGGCCCCCCACAGTGTGCAAACATACATTAACCTTGCTGCCCACCATGTATAAAAGCTATACTGAGTTGCAGATCAACAATACATAATGGTTCCCAGCATGTGCGAATCAGCTTTTCCTTTGGAAAAGTCCTACAGAGCACAGAAACACAATACAAAGCTAAAACTGCCGAATAAAACCTCATTTTCCAGGATGCTGATTTCAGACTCGATCCAAAACAGATTTCAGTCTTCCCAGCACAGTCCAGAGCAGGAAATGATGCTCTGCAGCACATGGCTGCCATCCCTTAATCACCTCTGAAGATGCAGTGCTGTAGGATGCATCCCCTGGGGACAGTGGAGGAGAACTTAGTTTTAGTCCAGCAGTCTGCACTGCATCCAGTGCCCTTCAGCGTAAGCTTAACACTGAAATAGTGCAACCTTTGGTCCTCCACACTCAAAGCAGGTTGTGCACCAGGTGGCCCTTGCATGGTCCTGTTTTCACACTGGCTACATTTAATTTACATGAGGAAGAAGAAACTCAGCAAGTTCAAAAAGCCCCATCCAGCATCAACCTGAGGACACAGAAGGAGCTCAGAGCAAAGGTTGAGCCAGAATGGAAGCTGCCCAGTGATGCTCAGTTAAACACACGACAGCTGCACTCTGCTGCAAGGAGAGACCTCCCCAATCCCTGCAGAAGTGAAGTAGCCAAGCTCAAGCAATCTTCTAGATCAATAAGGAAACTAGAGAAAGCTCTGGAGGCTTCACCCTGGGTCATGCACCGGTTATAGGGGACACATGCTTGGCACTCAGTCACAGAAAGGAAACATCCAGATCTAACACATTCCTCCCCTCAGCCTGCTGTTCACTCCTTCCCATTGTTCTCCACCCAGGTATAATCTTGCCCCCTTCTGCCTTTTCTGCGGGCCTGTTTGAAACAAGCTGACAGAAGCGTCACTCACTCAAACCAGTAATGAAATGGTGAGATTTGCTTTAAAAGCTTCTATTAAAACTATATTTAAACTCTTCAATCCTGAAGCACAAATCCCTTTCAGAGCCAGGATGCAGGTACTGCAGTGTGGCAGCAACGGAAGCAGTGCATACTGCATGTGGCCCGACAAACCCACAGGCAAGACCTCTTTGCTCTCCCTCAGGCCCCAAACCAACCTTCAAGCCAGAAACCCAGCTGTAGCCCTGAGCTGGCTCAGCAATGATCCTGTCCTTGCAAATGGCTTTGAGAACTTGCTGTCTGCAAAATGCTTGTGTGAGGTTTGCACTTGGAAAGCTTCTGAGCTGACCTAGGACTATCAGGTCAGGGCAACTCCAAGTCTGTGGCCACCCTGCTGTCTCTGAGGAGGCTTTCCTTGCGCTCCAGAGCCTGTGGAGCAGCACATTCCTCAGCCAGACACCCATGAGGAATCCTCATGGGGTGCCTTTGTGCTCAGCTCTGGGTGAAGGTTGGCACATTTCACCATTTAATGCAGACTGCACAAGGGATGGGAGGAAACCTTTGATTTCACCCTGTGCTAAAAGACTGGCCTTGCTCTTCTGGCTACAGAGAAACAAACTCCAGGCCTTTCCTTGCTGCAGCTTTAGCTTCTGGACAGTCCCAGCTCACCTCACTCCTAGGGAGCACCAAGCAGAAAATCAATCTGCAATTGAAGTCTGCAGCTCCTCCACCTTCTTCCCTCCTGCACGCAGGAGCAAGGGGAGAGAAGCATCTCCCACATTGCTGCAGTGCTGGCTATGAAAGCCCACAGATCACCCACCTGGACTGAGCACTTGGGCATCTCACACTGCTGAGGCATCAGGAATAAAAGCCAGAAGCGCTGGGAACAGTGGCCAGGTCCTGGCTAACAGCAATGCTCTTGCTAGTGCAGCTCTTCCCTGCCCAAATGAGGCACCCCAGGTGTCACCCCCTCAGAAGCAGCAGCACGCTCGTACAGCTCTAATGTCCAGCTCAGGCTGCAAAACAAAACTCCAGCTACATGACAACTTAATGTAACCCCCCATAAATCAGTTCACCTGATCAAAACAGACCCAAACAGCATCACAACAAATAATACAAAGCTGCTAAAAGTATGCTAAAATAGACTTAAAAGCATATAATTGTTCATCTGGAGAGCTGGGCTCTGTTTCAGGTTCTGCTACTCTGAAGGATTCCTTTTCACTGACAGATCCTCCAGAAGTGTATTGGAAAGCAATAGCTCCTGAATAAACAGATCAGTTACACACAGACCAGCCTTACTGTGCATAAAACTCAGGACAAAAGGCAATTATTTACTTCTGCAAGGCAAAATCAATGGTGGATTTGCAGTTAGTGATGCTGCCGCACACTGACTGTGCTGTGATGGGAATCCCCGTTGGAATGGAGACACCACCATCACCTTCCACAAGCTCCTGTGCAGCTTTGGACCTGACGCTCTTCACATGGTCACCAGCCTGATCCCCCCAACACTAAACATCTGCTGTAGCTCAGAGGATTATGCTGCAGACATGAACCAAAGCTGAAAAAAAGCTTATATGAGCAAAATTAATTTACTTACACATATCTTATTTGCCATTTTCCCCTGTAGCTGTTCCTCTGCTGCAGGCAGAGTAAAACTTCCATGCTGTTTTTCACAATACAGTTATCAAATGGCTGCACATGTTTCCCAGCCAGGCACATGGAACAAAAAGTGTTTTGAAAGGAACAGGACTGTGGAGATCTGTCGGTGTTGTACGGGGGAGTGGGAGATGAGCACGTGCAAGTAATTGTGCTGCTCAGTAAAGTATTTCAAAGCATTGTTTGAACAATAAAATATCATAAATCTCATTTATTGCTTGGTCCATCCATTTGGCTAACTAGAAATGTTGTTATGAGAAAGGATGGGGAGGTTCAAAGGCCCTGGGCCTCAGCAGATCCAGCTTCAGTTCCTGATTTTGCTACAGACCATCCAGAAAAATTACTTTACTGCTTGGTCTGTCACAGTTCCCAGGTTAAAAGGAACGATGCTGCTCTCAGCCCCCTTTGTCCTGCTTCTCTTTCTGGTTCTGAGAATACATCTGCCGTGTGCTGAGGCACCAAGTGCCTCTGCAGTAAAATAAGTCACAGTGAGTGATTACTACAATGAGCATGGAAAGAGTTCAGGCAGCAGTTTTGCTGCTGTTCAGAGCTGGAGACTTCTTAAATGCCTGTGGATGGTATCCTCCATGCCAGCACGTGGAATAGCAGAGATGTCACACAAACCTAGGATGAAAGCCACATCCACTACACTCCCCTTGACCACACAAGACCCACAGGCACTCTCACAAAGAGAAGTACCAAAGATCACAGAAGGCTTCAGTCTGCTGCTTTAGTGTACAGTAGCAAAGGCAGGAATCCAGCCAGGTCATCTAACTGCTGTAGCTAGCCATGAATCAGGGCAGGCTACTTGCAGAGGGAATGTCATCTCCATCTCCATCACCAGCATCCTTCAGCTCAGGTCAGACCCCCACCAGGAACTCAGTCCTGCCCTGGGGGAGAGCTGACCTGCACATAGAATAGTTAGGGTTGGAAAGGACCTTAAGGTCATCAAGTTCCAACCCCCCTGCCATGGGCAGGGACACCTCGCTCTAAACCATATTATCCAAGGCCTCGTCCAACCTGGCCTTGAACTGCCAGGGATGGAGCATCCAGCTGTATCTTGTCTCACCCAGAGCTTGTTGTTGTGTTTCCTTCAGATGCTGCCCCACAGCACACAGCCACGATGAAGAATCTGCTCTGACTGCTGTCAACCAGCGCCAGAAACTCCCTTTAAGGAGAGAAGCAGCAAGTCCTGGGCTGAGCTGCCAAGTCCTGAACAGCTCCTCGAATGACATTTCAGAAATATTAGGTCAGCAAGTCCCTTCCAGAGCCTGAGCTGTCTCCCCACACCAACAGCCTGGGACTGTTTCCATCCCAGAGTCTCCCCTGTGCTCCCTGTTCTGCTCTGGGGTCTGCAGGACTTCCCAATGCGCTCAGCATTAGTCCACTACCCTGACATGAGGGAGGTACTTCCACCTCCCACCCTGATCCCATCAACTTCTTATACGTGAGGAGGCACTTGCCTGAAGTCCAGCCAGCTTCTTCCAACACCTTTGTTTGGAGAAGCTTAAGGTGGACTTATTCCCACAGCCATGCACTGGAGCGACATCTGAGCTGCCCCGAGCCCCACAGCACAAAGTGTTTTACAATACATGGCTCTTCAGATCTAAGGAGCCAGCCACTTACTGGCTGTCACTGCTGCAGTGAGAGAGCAGCCAGAGGGTTCAGCTTTTCTGCAGCAACTCAATTCAGAGCGTGCTGACCTTCATCTCAGCTCTGCTACCTCAGGGCACACCAAGCAGGGCACCTGAAGATGAGATTGCCTCCAGCCAAGCTCCACTCACAATGCTGCTGCCTCGGAGAAGCACAAGAGCTTCTTGGCATCTGGGAAACCACTTTCAGCCATCCACTGGCTAAAAGA